CCGATTATATCCTTGTAGTGGTCCCTTTCTAATGTCTCCATGAAGAGGCAGGCCAGGACCGCGCTCAGAGGGGAGCCCATGGCAAGACCGCTGATTTGCTGGTACTCATCCCCTGCGAACTCGAAGAATCCGAAGTCCACACACAACTTCACGAGGCTTATGAAGTGGTGCTTAGGCAGCGGAAGTTCGTCATCTGCAGATATGTCACCGCGTTGAAGGGCCTTCGCGACGACGAGACCATCGTCATCACCCAGGCTGACAAAGGTGGGGGTATTGTTGTTATGGACAGGACTGACTATATACACAAAATGAACATTTACTTTCCGATGCTTCTGTTTTACAGGAAAGTGTCGAAGGGCGATGGGATGATGGAAGCTGCCAGATTCAAGAAGAAGGCGAGGATCTACTCCTGCGGTCGGCTAAGGGGAAAGGCTTGCTTCACCTGCTGGAGGAGGCCCCCCGCAACCCGTCCATGAGAGGTCTCCCGAAGGTGCACAAACCAGGCGTACCGATGAGACCCATCACTTCTGGCATTGGCAGCGCTCCCCATCGCCTGGCGAAGTGTTTGGCGAAACCCCTCTCCGCCGCCATGGGAGTCATCAGTGATTCCCACCTCAAGAACTCTGGGGACCTCATCAGACGTCTTCAGAGTTTTGTTTATAAAAAAAAAAAAAAAAAAAAAAAAAAAAAAAAAATAAGAAGATGGCTAGTTTTGATGTTAAATCCCTTTTTACGAATGTACCCACAGATGGAGCAATCCGGGCAGTCGAGAGGGTAACAGGTTCCATGGCAGATGACGAACTTCCGCTGCCTAAGCACCACTTCATAAGCCTCGTGAAGTTGTGTGTGGACTTCGGATTCTTCGAGTTCGCAGGGGATGTACCAGCAAATCAGCGGTCTTGCCATGGGCTCCCCTCTGAGCGCGGTCCTGGCCTGCCTCTTCATGGAGACATTAGAAAGGGACCACTACAAGGATATAATCGGCAGGCATTCGACGTGGCTCCGTTACGTAGATGATGTCCTCGTCATCGTCCCCAGACGGTCGTGTTTACACCGTATGCTGACGCGACTAAACTCCGTCCACGAGAAAATCCAGTTCACCGTGGAGGAGGAAGTGGATCAGAAGTTACCTTTCCTGGACACTCTGATTCATCGGGATGATGACGGCCTACGTTTCTCTGTATATAGAAAGCCTACGAATAAAGACGATTATATCCATTATTACTCCGCCCACAGCAGCAAAACAAAATCTGAGGTTGTAATTGGCTTCTTTCTCGGGCACTGAGGATCTGCAGCCCTGAGTTTCTTGAGACTGAGGTTACATATGTAATTAATTCTTTTATGCAACATATGTACCCAAAAGGTCTCCTGCTAAACCTCAGAAAGAAAGCGGAGAACATACTTGCAAGATCAACCCCAGTGACATCATTTGACTTCCTCATACTGCCTCCATGTAACGTTTCCCAGGCGATCAGCAAATACTTTGGAAAAACAGTAAAAATCGCCAGCACATCCGGGAAAAGATACACGATATGATACGAGACAGGAAGCAGTTGAAAAGCAACCCAACAGTGCAGTATATCGCATACCCTGCAGCGGTTGCGATAAGGCCTATTTTGGTGAAACAGGACGAGGCTTCAACACCAGGATCATCGAACATCGAGCCGACGTCCGTCACCACAGGACTTCCAATGCCATGGTAGTTCATGTAGATGAAGCTGGACATCTACCGAACTGGAAGGAAGCCGAAGTAATCCATGAAGGATTGAGTAAACAGAAAAGGAAGGTCATGGAAGCAGCATACATCGCGACAGAAAAGAATATGAATACCGCATCAGGCAGGTTTAAAGTATCCAAGGTCGCAGCTGCAATTATGCGCATAACGAGTGCGAGTCACAGTCGTCAGGTGATTTACCAGCTCCCATGTAGTATATATATGCTATGTTTTTCTCTTATGTATGTATTTCTGATGAAGACGTAATCGAAACCGGTCAAATACATCTCTTGTATTGTGAAGATATCCAGTCTCATTCATACCTTTTCTACATATATATATATATATATATATATATATAATATATATATATATATAATATATATATATATATATTATATATATATATATATATATATATATATTATATATACATATAATATATTATATAATATATATATATATATATATATATATATATATAATATATATGATATATAATATATATATATATATTATATATATAATATATATATATATATATATATATAATATTATATAATAATATATATATATATAAATAATATATATATGTACATATTATATATATACATATATATGTATATATATATATATATATACATATATATGTATATATATATATATATATATATATATATATATACATACACACACACACACACACACACACACTCACACACACACACACACACACACACACACACACACACACACACACACACACACACACACACACACACACACACACACTATAATATATATATATATATATATATATATATATATATAATATATATATATATAAATATATATATATAATATATATATATATATATATATATATATATATATATGCCTTTCTGACCAATAATCGCCTAAGTGTTCCCAGCTCTTCCAGTCGAATCCAAGAAGGAATGCTTCGCTGACCTGAACGGACCCAAAGATGACCCAAACAACATCTACAAGTGCGCCGACTCAGAAAAATGTTGCCAAGAAGGTGGTGAACCAACATGCTGCCGAGAGAAGGACACTGACGTGGCAATATGGGATCAGGTCTGTCTCCGCACTGAATGGAAAGTTATTTTTCTCTCCCTGAGACTTCATAGATTCCTCTTGAAAAGCCTGATAATGCAGAGTCCATTACTACTTCAGGTAAAGCTGTGGGGGACGCTGTCGGTGATGATCTTAGTCCTGGCCTTGGTCATGTGGTACTGCCGCCACGACGGCGACTGCTGCGGGAACAAGAAAGGCCAGGAAGACCACGGCTGCATCTGGCGCTGCTGCGGGAAGAAGAAGAAGGGGCCGGAACCAGAACAGTGAGTTTACACAATCTCAAGTATTTTATTTACTACACGATAGTCGCATATAATGCAAGAACAAAATTTAAGTGATAGAATAATGCTTTTATATAAATGTCTGCAGAGTCAAGATGCCGGAGTCGCCAAGCAAGGGTGTCCTCCCTCCCTACAGCGACATCGACTTCGAACAGGCCTAAATTTCCCCGAACCAAAAGCCATTGTCCGACTCTACCGACTTTCTACAGATACATTGAAATATTTATTGGTGTGCATACGAGTGCTCACATACTTACACTATCGTAGGCCTACTTACTAGACAAAAGTACCTTCGGGAGATCCGAGACCAAGGTATCCTACTCATGATACCATCTCCCTAAAGATGTCAAAGTTGAATGCCTCAGTGTAGATGATGGACAAATACCAAACATTGTAATCTAATTTACACTAGTATAGTAAAGCATTTGCACAATAAGGATGCCAGACGCTATGAAGATGAATGTATAATTTCAGTTTAAAATGTAGTAAAAATTAGTAGGTGTGTTAGGCTCCCTTTTTATCACTTGGGGAAACACCTGTAAACTCCAGGTACAGATAAAACATAGAGATGTAATACTAATTGATCTGGACGGAAAATTGATACTCAAAATCAACTTGTCTCTCTGTATTATATGTAATCAGAGGCAAACATCATTCACTTCATCATTATATCTATGAATGAGGATTCTTCCCAAGCAATATGGCAGAGACAGAAAGTCCACTTTAACTTTAAGCAAGGTTGGTTGGAAAATTGTAATACCAAAGTCAAAATTTTCCTAAGCAATTAAAGTTTAAGAAGTACAGTGATAAATACAGAGCGATTGCGTATTATTGAATAAACTATGGCTTGGACACAACTATACAGATTAGGATTTGTAAGGAAAGCAACAATTGCTGCAGTTTGAAGCGTTAATGCTTTCTCTTCTTTTTCTTTTCTACCATTAACGAAGACAAATCCAGCTCTGCCCGCAGTTTCATCAAAGGAAAACAGATATTTACAATTACCCTATCATAATATTCCAAGAATCATCCATTATCTCCACAAATGATCAGAATTCATAGGTGATTTCCGCCTGCATGAATCTAACATCTCTTTCTGTTCAACTATGTGTACATGGCAGAAGGTAATATTCTCGCGGTAGTGGGTGATAATGTTCATTAGGCTGCCCGAAGATCTTGGACATTCAGAATTTTAAAATGTGACTAAAGGCAGAGAAATAGCACAGTGCAATGGGACTTACTGATTACCCCACATTATGTACAACTGGCATAAGATCAGCTACATGGCTGGCATTCTTGTCAAGAATCAAGATATAAGTGATATCCGGATCATAGGCACAAATTCGCCTCAGCTTCATATCTGCACGTTACCTCATCTGTGTAACTTTTTTCCTTAATATACTGCGTACTTTCTAGATTCCATATACCCGGGTATCCTAGGTGCAGTACCATAATCTAAGAGCACAACAAATATGTAAGCTCTGACTGTGTCTTCAACCAATATAAGGATTATATAAAACCTATGATCTTAAAACCAAAATAGATAATGTACTGTCTATTCTTTTTAAAAATTGCTTTGTTCGCTTATTTCATTTTAACTACATTTAAACCTACGTCGTGACAAGTTTCACTTTGTGTGTATGGATATATCACTGAATTTTGTTTATTGCGGAACCCACGTTTGAAGTCGTCATACTGCTGTTGGTCTTCTCCAATTGCCCGGCATTTTCATGACCTCTTAGACCAGGGTCTCCCAACCAGGGGTGCTCGCACCCCTGGTTGGGAAACCACTTAAGATAGTTGAGATAGCATTCCAGGGGGTGCGAGAAGAATCCAACTTAATGACAATAAATTTATCTATTTTCACTCCTTTGCGGTTTACCCATTTCGAAAAAAAAATCAAGAAACGAGAACAAGAGTCACTGAAGTGAAATTCATTGATAAACGGTATAAAGTTGGATGCTTGATTTTATTATTTGCAGACATTTCAAGTAAGAGTGATTATATTTTATAAGGTTTATTCAAATATTAACTTGGAATTTCTTTTCTTGTACACATTTTTTTATTTTTGACATATTACTAGGAAATAAAATAAAATATTTCCTTTCGTTTATTGAATTCAGTATAAATTCACCTTTATCCCTAAATAAGCTATAAATATAGGGGACGCGAGGACACCGTAAAATTTTCTTGGGAGTGCTGGCTTGGGGGAACAAGTTTTGATTGCCTCCAGGTGGAAAAAAAAAGTTTCTTCAGGATTGCTCACACGAACAGGTCATTCCCCCTTCAATCGGCCATTAATTCCAAGTCGGCGCTTCACCGATGGCATCTGTTGTGCTATTAGATATGTTCCATAAGTCCGTTAGTCGCCTAGATTGATTAGAGATGTTACACCGGTTCACTTATTAGACAATCTTTCACTCATTGCGCAGATCTTCCCCAAGCCACTGTCATCAAAGACTATCTATCCTGACACATTGTGTAACTCTTTGGTAAACTTCCGTGAACTACAATGCAGCCAGTGGTGTTCGTGACACATCAGGCATTTATGCTATTGCTTGCAAACTCTGTCCAAACGTTTTCACAGGCAAAGCTGCCAGGGCTTTCGGCAAAAATAAGGTGGACATAAAGGTGACATTAGATACTCTAGGGAATATAATGTTTTATAGATGAATGCCATCAGCTTAACTGGAAGGATACCTTTTTAATTGATAAATAGAAAAATAATAGAAACCCTTTTGATTAAGAAATTACCGAATTTACCTGGATTGTTTAAACCTTAGCACTCCTCGTGTACAGGAATAAGAACTGAATTAATTGTAATTCAGCACTTATTTTTAGTCTTTCTATCTGCTATATATTTATGACACTATATATGGTTTTTACTACATCCGTCACGTTTTTATTCTATTTCTATTGCGGCAACATTTCAATTTAACAGTATGTACACCTTTCTTCATTTGTGTTTGTTAAAAAAAAAACAAGGTTATTTTTATAAAAGAGAAAAATATATACGTACACATCATAAAATGTAAGGCAAGGAAAACCTATAGGACATAGTTAATCTGAAAAAAATACTAGTTGTCATCGATCTGCAAGGTTTTCTGTTACCACATAAAATGACCTTACAATGTAGAAAGCAAGAGGTTTCATAAGTAGAGAACATTCATTAAAACTCAAAATGTAGAAAGGGCAGAACCTAACATGCACTGCACTCTTTAAATGTTAATACGTCAGTAAGAAATCTGACCAAAGTAATGGATAGTCCAAATCCATGCAGAATGAGAGAAATTGCTATGCCTTATAGCTTTATATAGCCCAGTCTGTATATTATTGGCAAAATAAGAGAAAACTTAAATAGTGGCAGCACATCAGAAAAGGAGCATAGTCAGACAACCTTTATGTCAAAATCTCCCAGAGTTTTCAGAAAGTGTCTGTAACGCACCTCTCTTGCACCTTGCTTGACCAAACTCTTTGCCTTTGTGCTTGATCAGTAACATAAAAAAAAAACAGAATTCAACATTATATTGACATCAATATTAATTACATGACTACCTCTAGAGAGTCTAGAACATCCAACAACAAAGCAAATGGCAATAGCAAGGATAAGCCTGGTGAGATCATGAACTGTAGCACCCATCTACCAAACCTATTTGGAAGACTTCATCACCTGAAGCAATGTTGTTGGCATACCTACTCACCTCCAAATTCACGGGAACATTCTCTAATAGTGTAGTTCACCATGGAAAAATGCATAAAAATGGTAGCTATATTTTATAACATCTTTTATTTATATTCAATGCAGAAAGGGAAAGGTAAACCAGCCAGTGAGGTACAGATACGTAATTTCCTGATATCAGTACAGATCAACCTGAGTCATACAGGGACTTTTAGAAGGGCCTCCGAGTGTTCAGATTACAAATTCACTTATTGGATAATACTGGTCATGCCTAATATCATGATGAATGCCTACAGTTAGCCAGAGCAAGGACCACTACATTATGGCAGCAGCTCTATCAATGTGGCCTTAATCTATGTTAGGAATACATCCATCTGACTGTGAAACTAGATTACTACCCATTAGGTCAGGTCAATGTGCACTCTCTGGAGAACATGGATTTACAGCTAGAAGGTCTTTGTAACGTTTTGAACTGTTTATGTGTATAAACAACATCCGGAAGGTAGCAGACTTCCTGTATCTACAGTGCCAGAGGAAACAGCTGATTCGCGCCTACCATGCCCGAGCTTGTTTGCCCATGGAACTTTCTCCCCCTCAAGCAGTCTGGCGAATTCACCCCCTTTGTCACGGCCGGAAGAACCGACACTCCAAAATACAGAAGCAGGCACCTGCTCAGGATAGCAGCTAGATAAATAGGGGATGTTCTCCATACCTCGACAGAAGTCCAGCTCTCATCCACTCGCTTTGAAGTGAATAAAACTGAAAGCCAAGACCACTTTGATTACCGCCCTAAGACCACCTTACATGTCGTTGACAGTTGATGGTAGCAGTTTCACGGACCTCACAACGCCTACGCTGATCGCTCTCCGACTACTCTACAGCGCCTCGCCCCCTGCCGTCTTCTGCTGCCGGCCACGCTTCTCTTGTGTACAGCCAGTTTCGCACCCATCCAAACACCTATCGATAAGGTACCTGCTCCCTTTAAGAACTTTGATTTTTCTCTGTATTTAGTTCCTCTAAGACTTTCCTCTTTGTTGCCTTCTACACTTTTACACTCAGATTTCCAGCTTTATCTGCATAGGTCAAACCAAACAACACGACCATTCACACGCAGCCGAGCACAGTATACCTTGAAAATAGATGCAACTATTGTTGGCATAAAAGAGACACCTTTAACAAACACAAACAAACGACACCGCACATTCTCGGTGTGATTCTCCCTTACATAACGTGAGACACCCTACTCCTCCCGCTCCTGCATCCCTTCGCCCCCGTGCACCACATTTTCCTCCCTCCACAATGCCTTCGGAACCCCCTACAACCTCTAACCCAGTCTTCCTCCAACCTTATTCTGTTACCAAGTTTGAAGCTAGACATGGATTCCTTGATCAAGGAAATAGAGGAATTCATAGTATCAACGGGAACAATGCGATCAGACACCGGGTTCATTATGAAATGTTTAAATACTGTTCATTCCCGTATCGATCTTACCTCACCAAAGGCCAGGGAAGCATTTAATGCCTTTGACTAACAACCTAACCCCTCGTGGGAATTGTTTAAACAGGAATTTGGCATTCTACTTAGGCCCTCTTAGGTTGATCATGTACTGTGTGTGTGTGTGTGTGTGTGTGTGTGTGTGTGCATATAAACAACCTCCCTCTCCCTCTGGCTGTCTTCCTGGAACTGGATGTAAAGCTCCTGGATGTGGGCGAGCGTGGCATCGTCACAGGCGCCCTAGGAGCTGGGCAAGTACCACTTCGAGGTGGCACTGCAGTCCATGTCGTCGAAGAAGACGTCGCGGCGGAAGAAAGGCAGCCTGGGAAGGCTCTGTTCGATGGCTTCAAGCGTCTCCACAATCTTTTTTCTCTTGCAGATGCACCAGCTTGGTCTGGGCCTGCTGGTAGGAGTAAAAATAGGCGTTCGCGGCCAAGGCGGCGGATGTAACAACGACCTTGTATTTAAGGTCGTTTCCAGGATTTTTAGCTTACGACCTCAGTCCTTTTTTTATGCTAACATCCGCACCCATTGTAACCGCATCAGACTTGCTGTGAATAATTGGATTTCCTCCATCCCAGACAACGCCCTGTTAAACATCAAGGGGGCATTTCATGACACCGCATCACATAATGAATATATGCTTTACTTTACTTCGGGTGTATTTGCATCCTCACTCACCCCATTGTGTCAGGAGAAAGTATGGCGTGAAATAGAAAAGAGATAACGTAGTCGAAGTGCCGGACGTTTTTTTTTAAGCAATTAAAAGAAATTTCCTCCATTGATGTGCAGGTAGCCAACGCCTTGTCTGAGAAGCCGACCTCCCCACCTCAGCATGGTCAGCCTAACCAACGCCCCTCTAACCTCATTCATGCGCCAACATGCCAACCCAACCCTCCCCCCCTGCCATTACCTGCCTGCCCCTAACCCTCGTTGTACTTATTATCCCTGCATGCCAGGAGGTTATGCCACTACCCCTAACACACCTTATCAGAACACCCCTTGGCAAGACTGATCTCATACAACACAAGATCAACCTGGTTCCTGATGCTCAACCTGTCTATATTCTAAGTTACCGCATTCCTCATAGCCGCCGTCCTGCACTCGAGAAGGCCACTGCTGACCCGGTTGACTTCCCACTCCCTCCCTTCGGCTGTTATTGCATCATTAAGACATCAGGACTAATAAGGTCTTCTCAGCTCTCAACTTAGCCAAAGGATTTCATCAATTACTCATGCACCCTGATTCTAAAAAAACAAACGGCTTTTTCCCACCCCTTCTGGACACTCGGAATTCACACGAACGCCTTTTGGCCTAAGGAACGCTCCACTAAGTTTTGCATGATTAATGTCCCTTGTCATGAGTGGTCTTGTTGGATATGATGTACTCATTTACCTTGACGACCAAATAGTAGTGTCAAAAGATGTCGCAGAACATGAAGTAAAATTAAGAAGATCTTTAGTAGACTCGTTAAGCCAGATTGACCATAAACCCACAGAAATTCCATGCTTTTTTTTTCTTCTCTCTTTTTTTTTTTCCCCTCTTTCTTTGAATTTCTTATAACTACAGTAGTAATCTCCTCTTATGACAAAGTAAAGAGCATTAGTAAATTCCCTGTCCCAAAGGATTAACATCAGATTAAGAGCCTAGTTTTAGCAGGTTTTTACAGACCTTTCATATCCCATTTTGGTTCCATTGGAAGCCCTCCTTCCCGGCTACTTAAGGGTACGGTCGTTTTTTTTCGACGTTTTACGCCCATCTTGCCGAAATTGAGTTTTATGCATTTTTAAGGAGTTTCAGGGCCTTTGATTCTCCCCTGAAAATTACAAGGCCCGACCGTTATTTTTTTAGGTGGTAACAGCCATTTTCGATGTCGACCGAAATATTTTTTCACCTTTTAAAAAATCGGCAATTGTGACCCACTGATTAGAGATGATAAAAATAATTAGATTTTCTGAAAGCTTATTAGATTTCACGTAAGATGAGATCAACCTTCATTTTTTTGGAATAATTTTAAAATCTGGCAAGCGTCCAAAAACAATAATGAAGATTTTTTTCATACAAATAAATAAACATGATATGCCGCTCATATGGAGTATTTTATTTTATTTATGTTTTCATTATACTAGTACATAGTTGGATCTATGAGCAAAACATTTCGAAAATGCAAACCTCCCCCCCCCCCCAAATGGGGGTAGGATTGCCAAATGATCCAGATCACCACCAAAATTTTATGGAATATTAATTAGGCTAAGACAAACCTCAGGTATAAATTTTATTAAATCTGTTCATAACTTTTCGAAAGATCCTGGATCCAAACCATGGTCCGCATCACCACCAAAGTGCAATAAGCCGTTAAGTTAGGTTAAAATACACCTTTGGTTAAAATCTCATTAAAATGTGTTCATAACTTTTAGAAATATAAAAAAAACAACAAACAAACAATCAACAAACAAAGAAACAAACGGAAGTAACAATATAAATAAACAAAAGGTCATGGGGTACACGAAAATTATCTATATGTGCTTATATACCTTATATACATACTTTTACATCGCCATGTAATTGTTTTTCGTCTTTCCACGGGGTCTTAGTTTAGTTTAGTCCTTTATTTACCACCCTGGCTAACTGCACAGGCGTGGGCAAGCTGTAGTACATTTGATACATGGTCAAAGCATTATATAATAGTATTACAGAATAAATCTATATCATAAAATTATTACGGTCTAAAATATATCATTTAAAGGAAAAGAACGATCAGTAATTTATCTACTCATCTGTCAAGCCGGCATACGGCTTGGGCGTGGAAAGGCAATGTAACATTTGATATGTGGTCATGTGATACTACATTCCAAATTTAGGATATAACATAATTATATCTTCCAAGACATCAGATGATATGAAGTAGTTACATAGTTCTCCATACCTCATGCTAGGTGGTCTGAAAGGCTGTATTACATGGCACTCTGAGATATAATGTACAAGTGTTCGCTTATATTCTTCATTGCATAATTTACACTTCGTTTCTTCAACATTACAGGCTGTACTGACCTGCCAGTACAATCTATATCCCAGCCTGATTCTTGCGGTCACAATATCACACTGTCTTGTTCTTGTTTTGTATAAACCATAGATGAAAACATCTTGCATAAACCTGTCATAGTGCTTTATGCTACAGCTTTCAGGCCGTTGAGAATTAATCAAGTCAGACAAGTCCTCTTTGAAGGAAGTTTTAATTATGTGTGAAATCCTAGCAAGAGGTACTCCAAGATCTATATCACACTTTGCTTGTCACATGCTGATTTTGCTAGGCGGTCAGCATGATCATGCCTGGGGATTCCAACATGCGATGGTATCCACACAAAACGTATATCATGGCCTCGTTCTTTTGCACGATACACATTTATCCTTATGTCATTTGCAATATTTCCTGCACCTTTGTCTAGTGTGTTCAATGCCTGGAGAGCACTCTGTGAGTCGCAGAAAATGACTCCTGAGCCTTGACTTAATAGAAATTCGGTGGCTATGAGCATTCCTGCCAACTCAGTTTGCGTAGTGCTAGCCCAGTCATGAACCCGCCTACAATCCTGGTGCTGCAAAATATTGTTTTTATATACGACAAAAGCGCATCCTGCTCTACTCCCAGACTGCAAGGATCCATCAGTGTAGCATTCATACGCATTGGGCATAGTTTCAAGGTGCTCATTGATAATTGCTAAAGCATACTGCTTAAGTACAGCAGGGGGGACACTGTCTTTTTTGGGGGCAGTCGTATAAAATACACTTAGGTCCGACATTTTCCACGGTGGAGCAGAACGTCCATGTAGGGTCTTAGTTATGGATATGTTCAGCTGAGACAAGTGCTTACATGTTACTTGTTGCCATGGATTTGAATTTGAATCGATGTTGCCATTCAAAGTTAGCTCCACTATTCTATGTTTTAGTTGTCTTTGGAACTCTGTACAATAGAGGGGTTCTCTTATTGCTTTGACGCTAAATGTGGTGTTTATGTATAATATTCTTTCATAGACAGACGGCAAATTAAGTTCTGATCTCATATTCACAATCCTCGTTGTCTTAGGGGCGCCGAGAATAAGCCTCATGGCCTCATTTTGTACAATTTCTAAACTAGCCAACTCTGATTCCTTGTATAATACTAGGTGCAATGCATGATAATCTATGACCGACCGTATGTATGACAGGTAAAAGAGTCTAGCAATATTGACATTAATACCAT